GTATACACCCAGCAGTGGGATGGCTGGATCACGTGACAATTCTATCTGTAGTTGTTTGAGGAAACTCCATACTGTTTTCCATAATGGCTGCACTAATTTACAGTCCTATCAACTGTGTAGGAGGGTTCCCCTTTCTCTGCATTATTGCCAGCATTTGTTATTCTCTTTTATATAATGGCCAGTCTAACTGGCGTGAGATGATATCTCAATGTGGTTTTGATTTGTGTTTCCCTGATACTGAGTGATGTTGAGCATTTTATAATGTGTCTGTTGGCCATTTGTATATCTTTTTTTAAGAAATGTCTATTCAGTTCCTTTGCCCACTTTTTAAATAGGGTTACTTGATTTTTTATAGTTAAATTGTTTGAGTTCCTCATATATTCTGGATATTAACCCCTTGTCAGATGCATTGTTTGCAAATATTTTCTCCCACTCTGTAAGTTGTCCTTTTACTCTGTTAACTGTTTCTTTTGCTGTGCTGAAGCTTTTTAGTTTGATATAATCCCATTTGTTTATTTTTCTTTTTGTTGCCTGTGCTTTTGGGGTCTTCTTCATAAAGTCTTTGAACTGTCCTACTTCCTGAAGTGTTTTCCCTATGTTTTCTTTTAGTAGATTTATAGTTTCAGGTCTTACATATAAGTCTTTAATCCATTTTAAGTTGATTTGGGCATATGGCAAGAGGTACAGGTCTAGTTTCATTCTTCTGCATCTGGATGTCCAGTTTCCCCAGCACCACTTATTGAAGAGGCTGTTGTTTCCCCAATGTATGCTCCTGTTGTCCTTGTCAAATATTAGTTGGCTGTAAATATGTGGGCTGATTTCTGGATTCTTTATTCTTTTCCATTGGTCTGAGTGTCTGTTTTTATGCCAGTACCATGCCAGTATCATACCTTTGTAGTGTAGTTTGAAGTCACATAGTGTAATGCCTTTGGCTCCATTTTATTTTATTTTTTGCTCAGGATTGCTTTGGCTATTCATGGTCTTTTGTTGTTCCATATGAATGTTAGGATTGATTTTTCTATTTCTGTGAAGAATGTTGTTGGTATTCTGATGAGGACTGCATTGAATCTGTAGATATCTTTGTGTAGTATGGACATTTTCACAATGTTAATTCATCTAATCCAAGAGCTTGGAATGTCTTTCCATCTTTTTGCATCCCCTTTAGTTTCTTTTCACAGTGATTTGTACTTCTTGTTGTAGAGATCTTTCACCTCCTTGGTTTAATTGATTCCTAGGTATTTTTTTTTTTTTCATGACTATTATAAATGGGCTAGCTTTCTCAATTTCTTTTTCTGCTAGCTCGTTACTGGAGTATAAAATGCTACTGATTTTTGTATGTTGATTTTGTATCCTGCAACTTTACTGAAATCATTTATCAGCTGTAAGAGTCTTTTGGTGGCATCTTTGTTTTTCTATTTATAGGATCATGTCATCTGCAAATAGTGACAGTTTGACTTCATCTTTTCCCATCTGGATGTCCTTTATTTCTTTCTCTTGCCTGATTGCTCTGGCTAGTAGTTCCAATACTACGTTAAATAGGAGTGGTGAGAGTGGGCATCCTTGTCTTGTTCCTCTTCAACTTTTTGACTTTTCCCCATTCAGGATGTTATTGGCTGTAGGTTTGTTGTATATGCCTTTTATTGTGTTGAGATGCTTTCCTTCTACACCTAATTTGTTGAGAGTCTTTATCATGAAAGGATGTTGAATTTTGTCAAATGCTCTTTCTGCATCTATTGAGATAATCATATGATGTTTGTTTTTGATTTTGTTGGTGTGGTGTATCCATTGGTCGACTTGCATATATCAAGCCACCTTGCATCCCTGGAATGAATCCTACTTGATCATGGTGTATACATTTTGTGATGTGTTGCAGTATTCTAATTGCTAATATTTCATTGAGGAGTTTTGCATCTATGTTCATCAGAGATAAGGAACTGTAGTTTTCTTTTTGGTTGTATCTTTGTCTGGTTTGGGCATCAAAGTGATGCTGGTCTCATAGAAAGAGTTTGGGAGGAAGGCCTGTGTTTCAATTTTTTGGAATAGTTCAAAGAGAATTGGTATTAATTCCTCTTTAAAGGTTTGGTAGAATTCAGCAGTAAAGTCATTTGGTCCAGGGCTTTTCTTTGTTGGAAGATTGCTGATTACTGCCTCAATCTCATTGCTTACTATTGGTTTGTTCTGGTTTTCTGTGTCTTCTTGGTTCAGCCTTGGTAGTTTTTACATGTCCAGAAATTTATCCATTTCCTGTAGGTTTTCAAATTTGTTGGTGCATAATTGTTTGTAATAGTCTCTAATGATTGTTTGTATTTCTGTAGTATTGGTTGTAATGTCTTCTTTTTCATTTCTGATTATTGTTATTTGGATCTTCTTTTTTCTATTTTTAGTTAGCCTATTTAATGTCTTGTCTATTTTGTTTATCTTCTCAAAAAACCAACTTTTTGTTTCATTGATTTTTTTGTATCATTTTTTGGGGTCTCTATTTCATATAGTTCTGCTCTGATATTAATTATTTCTTTCCATCTACTAATTTTGGGGTTGGATTTTTCTTGTTTTTCTACTTCTTTGAGGTGTAGTATTACACTGTTTATTTTAAATCTTTCTATTATTTGATGCAAGTGTTTATTACAATAAATGGGTTTTGTTCTTTCATGTGTATTTATGGTACTGATTATTGTTTTCTGGATTACAGATGCAGGATTCCCTTGAGGATTTCTTGCAGGGCTGGCTGTGTGGTGGTGACCTCCTGCAGTTGTTTGAAAAATACACTATTTCTCCCTCATTTCTGAAGGATAGCCTTGCTAGGTATAGTATTCTTGGCTGGCAGTTTTTTTCTTTTAGTATTTTGAATACATCATCCTATTTTCTTCTGGCCTGCAGAGTTTCTGTTCAGAAGACTGCTGTTAATCTGATATGGACTCCCTTATAGGTGACTTGATGCTTTTCTCTTGCTCCTTATAGGATTTTCTCTTAGTCTTTGAGCTTTGCCAGTTTGACTATAATGTGTCTCAGAGAGGGTCTTTTTGGATTGAATCTTTTTGGGAATCTTTGAGCCTCCTGGATCTGAAGGTCCATGTCTCTCCCTTTAACTGGGAAGTTTTCCATTATTATTTCATGGAATAGATTTTCAGTGCCTTTTCCTTTCTTCTCACCTTCTGGAACACCGATGGTTCAGATGTTTATGCACTTATGGTTGTCTGCACAGATGTTTTGCACTTATGATTGTCTGTTGTACATTTTTCATTTTTTAAATTCCTTTTTTTTTTGTTCCCCTGGGTTATTTCCAAAAAACTGTCTTTGAGATCAGAAATTCTTTCTTCTGCTTGCTCCAACCTTGTTGCTTAAGCTCTCAGTTGTGCTTTTTATTTTGCTGAATGAATCATTCCGTTCCACAAGTTCTGCTACATTCTTTATTAAGCTATTCATCTCTTTGTAAATTTCCTCTTTCATATCTTGGATATTTTTTCTCATTTCATTATGTTGTCTAACTGAGTCTCCTTGTATCTCATTGAGTCTCTTTAAGATTGTTACTTGGAATTCTCTTTTAGTCATTTCAAGGATTTCTTGCTGTATGGGGTCTGGTACTTGAACATCACTGTATTCCTTTGGTGATGGCATATGTTCTTGGTTTTCCATATGCCTAATGTCATTACATTGATGTCTGGTCATCTGGTAGAGCAGTTGCTTCTTCTATTTCTCTGGAGTGGTCTTTGAAGAAAGAGAATTCCTTTCTTCTTCTGGTCTCTGCTGGTGTCTCTCCTTGTATCAATGCAGTTGAGTGGGTGGCAGGCCACCTGCACAGTGGCTGTGTCTGCTACTGTGGTGATAAGCTGCCCTTGTGACAGCAGTGGCTTTTGGCAGTGGCTGTGGTGAACCACCTGCATGGATGTGGTGTTTTTGGTGTGCTCTTGCCTTCTGCCAGGTGGTGGGTGCTGCCCATGGCTCCCACCTAGGACCCTGGGCATGCTCCTGCCTTCTGCTGGGCAGGGGGGGCTGCCCGTGGCTCCTCAAAAAATATTTAATTGGTTACAGTTACAGTTGCCTTATTTGTTCTATCCTGTTGGAAAGTCCCCAGTTATATAATTATAAGTTTGTTGGCTGCCTACGAGTGGTTGAGCTTAAGTTCTGTTTTTCTTTAATACAGGCATTTACAAGAAATAGCTCAAGTTAAGTTTCGCTTATGTTTGCAAATCAAGAAAGGTTGAGGTCACTTATGAGGCCAAACTGGTTTTGTCTGCTCAGGGATTCTTCGGGTTTGGTCTCCATTTTAATTCACTTTAACAAGATTTAAATTGCATTTTCACACCAGCTTCTATTTCCCCAGGCTGACCGTAAGCTATTGAAGGACAGATATTTTATCTTATTCACCTTTATTTCCTCAACCCTTAGCAGAGCGCCTGGCGTATGGTTGGCACTCAGTAACCAATGTTGATTGTGTATGTGAATGAGTGATGAATAAAGGAAGGGATGCAAGGAAGCTCTAGCTAAGGGATTGGTGTCTCGTGTTGCTTGGAGATTTCCCTCCCCTTCCCCACAGAAGAATGTGTGCAAGCAGCAAAGCAAAAGTGACTGTAGATTTGATAGGGAGGAGGCAAAGGAAGGGCCTTGTGGAGACAGGAGCATGCTTCAAGGCTGCAACCTGCCAGGAACTTCATCTTGACTCATCTTCTAGGGTCAGGCTGAGTAAGAGGCAGCTGAAAGTGACTTGGCTCCCTTGCTCCAACTCAGAGGCCAAGGGTACACTGTTGCCTGACCCCACAGGACTCTGGAGGGGCTCAGTCTCAATTGGGGAGACAGCTTCCTTTGTTGCTTACCCAGATTCTGTGGTGGAGAGGTTAGGATACCAGTAGAAGAGACAAGAACATACTGTAGAATGAAGAGAAATAGCATAAAGCCTCACAAAGTCCCCCAGGCCCTGCACTGAGGCTCGTTCTGATGATCTGAGTGGACAATGGAATGACCTTAATCTGGGGTTCTAGCCACTTTTCTGCTAATGCCTGCCTGGCCCCCATCTGCTCCTTGCACCACATTGCTGTGACAACCGTGGAAGGAATAGGAAGCACCAAGACGAGGCTGCATCCTGTGCAGGTAACCAGAGCAAAGAAGCTGTGCTCTTGAGGTCAGGCCATTTGTTCTGCAGGGAAGCTCATATCAAGGCTGCAGACTTGTTTTGGATTGTTGGGTGGTACTTCACTGGCTCACAAAGGAGGCATTGTGCCCTGGTCTCCTCTGGGTACTGTGAAGTAGAAAGAGGAAGGTCCAAGTCTGAAGCTCTCTCCTATGGTGTAAATTACACAACCTTAGGGAACCAAGAGGTCAACTGAATCTGGTGGCCAGGGCAGTCCAGCTGCACCAGAAATAGGAGGAGGACGGGCAGGGGAGCTTCTTCACCTTCTTCCTGAGTGTACTTAGGAATCCCTTGGCCTTCCCAAATTCCAAATCCTCTATGTCCCTTGTTAAATAGTACACCTACTCCCTGCTCCCTGGAATGGTCACCTCTCACCCATAGATAATACAATGTGGACTGCCAGGCCTCCACCCTCATTAAAATGGAGGTCAGCAAGTGCTAAATAAGATAATAAAGACGCCTGAGTGCCTGACCAAGACTTTCTCCCTGATGGTGTCAGACCACCTGAAAATAGAATGAAATCAGTGGGAAAACTTTTGGGGAGAGTGGACAGTAATCTGAGGGGTTTCATGGGGAGAATCAGGTGCTCCAAAGCCAAGTGGAAACAAACGGGAGCAGAGCACTGTGGGAAGGAAAGGCCATTGTTCCCAATGTGTTTTGTTTGGGGTAACTGAGGCAGGAGCTGTTTGGGAGATGGTAATCACAAAAGGTGCCAGAGCTAGGCCCAGGCCTTAATCCTCCCTTGACAATTTGAGGAGACATGTCACTCAGGAGAATGTGTCTTCCTTGAGCCCCTTTCATGACACGAAGCCAGGGCTTCCAGCTGGGTGAGCTGGTTCTGTTCCTTGGGAGGAGCATCTTGGGTCAGTCATGTGAGATCAGAGCTGGGTGGGCATGGTATTGCTTCACTTCTACAGCTTTGTTTCTTAGTCAGGTAAAGGGGAAATTACTAAGTTTGTCCAACTTGCAGGAAGGGTGCAAGGGTTAATTAGGGCTTGTTATTTTCTTTGAAACAAATAGATGAAAGAAAGAATGAATAGCTTAACACAGGAATCCTATCTGTATGGTCAGTTTAAAGCCCTCCCCTTCCAGTGGTTCAGATCCTTATTCCTGATGCACTGATTTTGGGTTAATTAGGGCTTGTTATTTTCTTTGAAACAAATAGATGAAAGAAAGAATGAATAGCTTAACACAGGAATCCTATCTGTACGGTCAGTTTAAAGCCCTCCCCTTCCAGTGGTTCAGATCCTTATTCCTGATGCACTGATTTTGGCTCCACATAAGCTACAGAGCCAGATTCCACTTCTTGTCCTTTGTTTTTTTTCCTTTTGGTTTCTGTGACACTACACTTCCTGCTTCTCCTCTGCTCAAGCTCTGATTGCTGCAATGCCCTGGTCTCTATCTAGCCCTTCTTCATCCCCACACTCTCCCTAGTGATCTTAACCCCTTCTTGATCCCCACACTCTCCCTAGTGATCTTAACCCTTCTACATGCAAATGACACTCACATTTACACCTTCAGCTTTGACCTCTCCTAGAAATTAGACTCGCATTTCCAACTGCCCACTTGGTATTGCTATATGGATGTCTAATCAAACTTTACAAAACCCTACTTTCCCCCCAATGTCTTCCTTCCCTAATTTTCCTCCATCTGAGTCAATGGCAAAGCCATCCACCCAATTGCTCAAGACAGAAATTTAGGTGTCACCTTTGATTCTTTCTCTCCTATGCCACACCTAACCCATCCAGGAGTAATGTCCACTTTACCTCTACAACCTGCAATGAAACCTTCTTTTTCTCTCTGTTTCCACCATTGCTACTTGGTCTGAGCTGCCACCTCCTCTTGCCTGGCCCATTACAATATCCTGGTCCCCTGTCTCTGTACTTGTCCCCTATAATTCATTCCCCACCCAGCAGTCAGAATGATTCTTTAAAAACGTAAATTACATCACATCTCTTCCTTCTGAACATTCCCCGATGACTTCCCATCACACCCAGAATAAAATTCCAGCTCCCTCCCCTGGCTTCTGAAGAGCTGCACAACCTGTCTGCTGCCCACTCCCCCTGATGGCTTCTCTAGTCCCAGTAGCCTCCACCCACAGGGGACTTTTAGCAACTCTAGCACATCAGGGTTGTTTTGTCCTCAGAGCCTTTCCACTTGCTGTTCCCTCTGCCTGGAATACACTTTTTCCTGATCCAACACACTATTAAAATCAGCTTAAAGTTCACTTTTTTTCAGAACAGCCTTTTCTGACTGTTTTAAGTAGCCGTCAGTCATCCTGCATCACGTCATCCAGTACAAATGCTCTGCATAGCACCGACCTCCACCTGGAATTTTTTTCTTTGTTTGTTTTTGTCAGTATTTTACCCAATATAATGTGGGCTTCATGAGATCAGATACCTTGTCTCTCCTCTTCAATGCTCTGTCCCCAGTGCCTTTACCACGTCTGGCACATAATAGATTTTCAGTAAATATTTATAAAATAAATGAATATATATACTAGACACTGAAGATACAATATTAGCAATTTTACTTATCATAAGTAACAAGAGAGACTCCCAAGAGACAAAAAAAAAAAGAGTAATATGGATGAGGAGAATCTCTTTGTAATAAAAATCTCCCAACTCTGAATGAAAATTCTGTGACATTCTACACATATAGTAAATTCTATTTGACACATTTCTCAATTCTTATGTCCTCCTTCGGATTCAAGAGTTGTTTTCATTTAAGAATGCAGGAATACAGTGGTACTCTAGTTTGGAATAAAACGTATTCAGCTGGTTCTTCATAAATGCTGATTAGGAGGGATTTGAGGGTAGTATAGTTAAAGGAACACAACACAGCTCTTCCGTTCACCATGTGTGATCTTGGGTAAACCCTGAATTCTCTGGGCTTGCTTCCTCCTCTATTAACTGAATGGAATGAAGGGTGAGAAGGTGCCTCTGGTTCTAATAGTCACTATTCTTTGAAGGGATCTTCCCACTAATAGCTAACTAACATTGACTGACCGCCTACTTAATACCAGGTACAATGTTAAGAGTTTTATATGAATCATCTCAGTTAACCTTCACCACAGCTCTAGAGGTAAGTCTTTGGAGGGGGGTTGGTAATCTGGCCACGATCACAGCTTGTAGAAGATGGTACTGGGACTTGATTTTGTGCAGTGCCCGCTACCCCCATTGTCTCTCAACAGGACCCTCCTGGGTCCTGCCAGGGGTGCCTGAAAGGGATTCTGCCAAAACAGGTGTCTATATCATCTGTCCCTTGTAGGAGAGAATTGCCAAAAGCCATGGCTCCCAGTGCGGATTCTGTACCCCTGGCATTGTCATGAGCATGTACACCCTGCTCCGGAACCAGCCCGAGCCTACCATTGAGGAGATTGAGAATGCCTTCCAAGGTATGTGGCTTCATGCACAACTTGAGAGGCGGAATGGCAAATGGGGCCCTGTGGAGGTCAGGTCAGGGCCAGTATAAAAGCCAGGAATGGGTTAGGATGGGAGGGGCTACTCTTTGGAGGGAAGGCTCAGGCTACGCCAACGTAGTGGCTAAGATCTGTTGGAAAAGTAGCCCTCTCTTAGTTTGCAGACATGCTGGGATCACCTGACTTTGTGTTCATCTTCCTGAGGGTCTTCCCGCCCTCCCTCAGCAGTAAGGTGGGGCTGGCAATGGCTGGTTGGCACAAAAGGACATCATTTGGGAAACTCCAGAGACTAGTGATATGGCTTCTTTCCCTCTCAGTTTCCACCACAACAGGATTCTGCCTGGCAAAGATCACATATGGAAGGTGTTCAGGATTCAGTGCCATGGGCAGGGGCTGGCTTCCTGTTTTGCCTTCTATGAATGGGCCCAGGAGCCTGTACCATATGCCTATTTTTCTGAATTGAATAAAGAAGGCTCCCCATCCACTCACCATTTCACTCTATCATTTATTCAGGCACTATACAAGGTACACGGGACACAGGGATGAAAGACACAATCCCTTCTCTCAAGGAGTTTACACTCTGAAGGAGAAGATGGTTTATAATGTAGTGTGATATGCTCACTGATAAAGCTATGACTATGCACCTGTCTCAGTCTGGGCATTGTAGGAAGAATTTCTGGAGGGGGATGAAAGACACAATCCCTTCTCTCAAGGAGTTTACACTCTGAAGGAGAAGATGGTTTATAATGTAGTGTGATATGCTCGCTGATAAAGCTATGACTATGCACCTGTCTCAGTCTGGGCATTGTAGGAAGAATTTCTGGAGGAAGTCATGACAAATTTTCTGAAGTTAGGAGTATGAGGAGGAGGAGAGGCCTTCCAGGCGGAGGAAACAGAATACGAAAAGGCAGGGTGGTAAAGAGAGCACCGAACTGGGCTAGAGCAAAGTCACAAACCTCACCTGCCCTGGAGGCCTGAGCTGACATCGCGGCTTTTCCCTTGGCCTGCAGGAAACCTGTGCCGCTGCACAGGCTACAGACCCATCCTCCAGGGCTTCCGGACCTTCGCCAGGGTAAGTGGGGGCCCTAGAGCAGCAGTGGCCCTGCTCCTAAAGCAGCGACACTCAGAAATCACAGCTGGGAGGGATGACAAGGGCAACCTGTCAACAAAGAAGAATGATAAGATGGTCAGTTAGTGGGTCTTCCTGCTGGGGACATCTGGCGTGGGGAGTGGACTCCTACCAGTCTTATCCAGGGAGGGGCTCTTTTCAATAGCATGGGGACTTCCCTGCCATTGAAAGCCTGGAGACCCACTTCCTGGAAGAGGCACACTGCCCAGAGGCTAGCTTTCTCCAGTGCCTTCAGGCTTGGCAGCTTTTCCTTGGAGACTGGCAGGTGCTGAGCGTGGCATTTAGTAATGATTCAGCCTGGCTCAGCACTCGCGGTCTTCCCCTTTCCTTCTCCTGGCTGCCTTCTGCAGTTGGCACTCTGCTGGGCTTACGAAACTGATAATTAGATCTCCAGACAGTTTGTGAAGCCCTGCAGTGTTCATATAATTCTGGGTGAGAAGCCACAGCCAGGTGTGTGGGCGTTGATTACATAAACATAGACACACACCTGCCATCTGGCAAGGAGGACAGAGAGCTGGCCTCTACTTTCTTGGCTTCATCTCCCTGGGCTTTACCTGGTTCCTCAGCTGGTCAAGTTAATTCTGGCTCCAGTCAAACCATCCCATCATGATTTGATTCTCAGTCCAGGGGACAGTTACAGACTCATGTGATTTTCACTCACATTTTGAATTGGCGCATCACAAAAAGGAGTGTTATGTCCAAATAACCCAAGAAAGCGTGGTTGAAGATGGAGATGGGGCCTTATAAGAATGGAAAACACCACACCCTGGTGAATGCTGCTGGTGATTAAGTATTAGGAGGTATGAAATTGAACAAAAATGATTGAAAGCACAGATCAGAGTCTGCAGACCAGGGTTCAAATCCTATTCCATCACTTGATTGCTACATGACCTTCGGCAAGTTTTCTGGTTTCTAAAATGGTGATCATCATAATACCTACCTTATGGTGTTTGTAAAGATTAAGTACTTCTTATAAAGCTTTTAGAAAAATGCACATCGTAAGTATTCAATAAATGGCAACTATAAATTATGATGCTGACACATTTCTTCCATTGCCCACTATATGATCTTCATAAATTGTTCAGACTTCCCAGAGAACCAGGAATTGTTAATCTTCCCCTTATTTACTTCACAGGAGCCTGCTTAAAGAGATACAATCTAACCAGTCCTCATAGTTTCTCAAAAGAGAAGAGTTTTAGAGTACAGCAGATAATCGTACTCTGTCCCAGGGTCTGAGTTCTATCAACGTTGAAATGATTCCTGATTTCACTGTGCAGAAGAACCTCCCTCCATCCAGCCACCCAACAGTGTACAGCAGAATAAGGCTGAGAGCTCTGAGCAGCCAGAACGCCTGGCACACAGCAAGTGCACAGAAATTCATGCACACTGTTCATTGGAGGTCCCGAGACCTTTATTCTGAATATTTTACACACAGTTCTAACAACTTGGCTATCTAGTTTTCCTGTCCACAGCACACACTAGAAAAAGGTAAGGAGGGTCGGCTAGCGGTGGGCACACTGCTCACAGCAAGAATTGACAATGTCCATCCAGCAACAAGGAAGGAAATTGAGGAACCATAACAGTAGGCACAGGCAAGACTTCTGGTTTCCACTCAGGCATGTAAGGAGTTTAGAAGTCTTGTAAGAAGCTTAGAAGTCTTTATTCCATCCTAACAACAAGTAAGAAGTAGAGCAAAGTGAAAGATGAATGACTCTTTGATCCATCAGAGAAGTGAGGTCACGGGACAAACCATTGCCCCCCCAGCTTGGAGAAACAGACAGGCAGATATAGAGACTTATGACATACCAGAGAAGAAACATGTGAAAAGAGAACTCTGCAGGGACCTTTACCAGGGTAGGAAAACCTAAACAGTGGTTGGCAAATTATGGAGGCACAATGTGGACCAGCTTGAGAGAGCCAAACTCCAGGAGG